ACCTCCCCCTCCTCCTCCAACTTCTCCTCCATTTTATCAATATCCGCTACGGCGTTTCCTGCACCCACCGCCACTGCGCACAATCCTGACGTACCAATAAACATCCGCCTTCCACCAACAATCCCAACGACATGGGTTCGACCCATATCTGTCCTCGTGGTGACCGCACCTCCACCTCACACATCGGCCTGGTTGGTTACTTGCGAATCCGTCACACAGAGCCTGGCGAACCAGTGCCAGAAGCACCAATCTACACTCTCCGCATTCGCTTTCACCGTCCAAATTGCCCAGCACATTCACTCACCGCATCGGTCTATTCGGTCACGTGCGTAGCCACGAGAACGGGATTGACCGCAGTCTTGACGCACCTAGTATCTCCTGCACACCCACCACGTCTAGATCAACCCACACCCCGTCACCCAGCGCGTCCATCACCGGCAGCTTCATCTCTACCACCATCTCCGAAGCCGACACTGGCACCGCCGAATTTTCTTGTTTACACAATCCCTGTACATTCACCTCACGCCTCGGCCTGGTTGGTCGCTTGCGAATCCATCGCATAAAGGCTGGCAAACTAGTGCCTTGGAGCACCAAATACGTCCTACGCATCCGTTTTAACTGCCCTCACTGCACCCGCACATTCACCCACCACATGGGTCTATTAAGCCACACGCGCCTTCACAAAAACCTGCGATAGACAACCGCCGGCAAAAACCACAGTACCATATTTTCCTCCACCTACATTGCATAACATCATCATCCACCACAGGCATCCAGTTGCCACCTCCACACAAATGGGAAATGGGCATCTCGGCTCCGCCTCCATGCGACCCGTCTGCTGCATATGTGATTCAGTCTGAGACTATCACGGTGCGTCAAGCGCCGTGGCTTGGGGTGATGCTGACTGACGCCCCAACTCAGTCCACGCAGTCACTCCAGCTGTGTGTTTTTGGGTGAAGTGGCGGACCGGCGGACCGATAGCCAGGCTGAAATGGCTCCTTCTCAACGTGACCTACGGCAGTCTCACGTATGTGAGGTGCGTGTCGCTCTTAATCCGTTGTGTGAAATCTCGGCGCTTTTGTTTGGGAGGATCGTGCGTGCGGCGCGCGCAGACAAGATCACCAGATATGTCAGTCACCGCGCCCCCTTTTCCCGCACCGGCTCGGACAGTGACTGGGGCCTGGGAATGGAAAGGGAGAGTGAGATCGACGGCTCAGCGCATTGTACTCGCTACAAACAATCTGATGGCCCTGAAGCTATCACGGTGCGCTAAAAGCCGTGGCTTGAAAGGTGGCCAGCTAACGGGATAACTTGGACCTCGCAGTCGGCCAAGTGTTGTGTGTTTATGTGACGCGGCCGATTGATGGTCTTAGAGTCAGGCTGCCACGCTTCCTTCTTAATGTAGCCTTTATGGCACTCCCACTCTATGGGATCCGAGCTAGGTATGGTGGCACTCCTAGGTGCGGCTTCGGTCGTTCCAAGCACCTCTTTGATTTTGGTCAAAAACCTGGTCATTTGTTGTGTGGACCAGGGGGTGTGGAGTAGAACGCCAAGGTGTGTGTTGGAACGTGCTACCCATCTGTGCCCTCTGCCACCTCCGGTCATCTTAACACTGTCTGGACATGGGTCCACGTGGGAGAGGAGAGAGTGCGGTAGATGCTGTGCCAGTCTAGACTCACTATAAACTACTATAGGCACAAGTCACCATCCCTGTCCCACCTTGCTGTGGCGCACGCGGTGGAAATCGTCAGCAGAGACGGTCGAACTGTCAAGTGTTCGGTGGAACTGATGACTGGCGCTGTAACCGTCGACTTCACGGGGTGATTTCATAGAAACTTACCTTCCGTTTTTATGATTTCGTCTTCCACATTCTTCGGATTTTCACCCTCACCCTGACGCACACTCGGCTCTGTTATCAGTGTTCTCCCTTTCATTCGACCGATGGGAGAATAATGTGGCTGAAAAAACACTACGGTTGTTATTTTGTAACCTGGATTTTCGAGAAAAGATTTGATTTGCCTGCTGCTTGCCGTCCAAGACGATTTTCAATAGTCTTGGTTGCATCTCCTCTGCGTTGCCACTAACTACATGTCCAAATCAGAAGATCTTTTGTATTTCAACTACCTCACCGGGTCCTTCAGGGTCATTTAGTAAATTTTAAAATGCCAAAAGGTTCCGGCCTGACTCTCTGTTTTGGGATTTCGCCAGGAGTCTCAGAAACTCCCTAGACCACCACAGAAATTGATCTTTCGGGAAAAAACCTGTCTCTTCACAGACTTTGGTTCAAGCTTTATTATTTATCTCAAACGGTGAGTTTAGTAGTTGATATTCAAACTTCGTTTCGGGTTTTTCAACCATAACTACTTCTTCTGTTATTCTGTCAGTTCGACTAGTGCCCGAAATGCCTGTTCTTGGGCTTGTGGCCTCCAGGTATGTCGCTTAGTTTCATACATCCGTGATGAACACCTTTGCGCCTTGACTATGCTGCATCACGTGATTTGTGACATTGCAGCCTGACAGACACGTATTGGGTGAGCTGCTAGCGCTTTTTCGCGATATAGGTGAATCCATACGATTGCTCTCTACAGTTTTTTTTAGAATCTTCGATTGCTGATATATTCTGGTGCAGAGGGGCTCTGCATGCCCAAATTTGCCGAACTTAGGGAAATGCACAGTCAGTTTCATCTCCGTGTGCTCTCTTTGTTCTCCTCTATTCCGACTGAGTTGGAAGACTTGTCTAACGGCTTCCTTCGTTACCTCTTCTTGTTTCGCTGAACGTGACGCCCCGCGACCTTGTTCCGACTCAATGTTTTTCATGTCTTTTGCGTCGCGTTCTTGGGGTTTAATTTTGTTATGCTTGATGAGTGATACTATTATTTCTGTGAAGAGAGCGATGTCTTCTTCTAATTTCAAATCTCTGGTGGTGAGGTCCCCGTATCCATCACAGCATGTCGACATTTCGTCATCTAACCTATTTGTGGTCGATTTCAGTAGTGCACAGCGTTCGTCAGGATTGAAGGTCGGTGGTCCATCGCGTCCAGTTGAGAGCAAATAAAGTATTTTGGGTAAATTTTTATCACAAAAAATGGAAGACGGTTTACAAATGAGGGACAGATCGCCTTCTTCTGAGTAGACTTACTTTTTTGTCGGCCGGCTGCTCGGATGTGGCCGAGTCGTTTGGGTGTCGGTTCTCGTCCAAGAGGTCCTGGCTCGAATCCCTCCCGCGTCGGCCAACCTGTCACACGTAGGAGGGTCGTGGACATTTGCATTCATCATGCTAGCAAGATCTCTTCGAGATAAAAGACTAGTGCTGCCTATAAAGCCTCGGACTAAAAAACACATAGCAGGACCGAGGCAAGAAACAACAGAATCAGATACAATGTAGCACTTGCCGCCGTTGTCCTCTGTAGTGAAATCAATGGCCTGGAGAGGGTCTGAGGTCCTGGGAATCGACGAAGCGCTTGCCAACACCACTGGTTTTGGCGCGGGGAGTAGGAGCCGCAGTAACAGGGGCACCAGGGCGTTTGAGTACTATAGTCGTCGACCGTCTGCGGCTGGACAGCAGCTACGCCAAGGAGAGGTTGGGCTGGTCACTCGCAGGCTGCCTGCAGTGCTTCCTCTTGACGTGCGAGGTCAAGGGTCTTGTCACGGGTGGCCTGTTGCTCCCGCATCAGGACCTTCCGGAATCCAGGGTCCCCGACACCAGCGATGAAATGCTCCAGCACCCGCCGACTAAGGTCTGTGACATCCATGGTAGGAAAAGCCCCCCGCCCGGGGAGACGAAGGGCCTGCTGGCAGTCAAGGACTCGTTCACCCGGCTGCTGGACGCGGCCGCGGAACTCAGACTACAGAATAAAAGGGTGCACAGACGCACCGAGAATCGCACACAGGCGTTCCAGGATGCCCGTCGCCGACAGGGAGGCAGAGATATCTCATGAGCGGGCGAGGTCGTAGATTTCGTCATCCAACAAGGCCATAATGGTTTCGCTTTGTGACTGAGCTTTAACCCCCGAAGGTAGTCCTTAACACGCGACTCCCGTCGCCTGAAGTCGACAACCCGCGAGAGTTTCTCCGGCATGGGTGCGCACGGCTGTGACAAACCCAGCTTTTTAAGCTCCTTGACCAATTTGTCCACCAGCTTGCCAGGTATGTCGGCCACCGTTGCCATCAATTTGTAATTTCCCGATCGACAATACAGAAACTAGCAGCTGGTTTTGTGCACTAGAAGACCTATGTACAAGAAGAAACTAAGGAAGGGATCTAATTACGAAAATAAACTGGGATTGGGAGGGCTGTCCACAGGGAGCGGCGGAGAACGCAGGGATTCGGTGAAGACGGCGACGGATGTCCCTCGTCTGAGGAACGGAGGCTTGCCACGGGGTCGTCGGAGGTTAATCCTACCCCGTATTTGTAGCCTCTCTAAGCGTCAAGGTTGAGTCCGCCAATGTGATTGGGTGGGGCTAATTTTAGGACGAAAGGTTAAACAAACTTAAGCCAGGAGTAATTCCATTAATTCATGGTTATAATAGTGTATTATGTGCAAATTGTGACTAAGTACCCGTCATAGAAATAGAGGAAAATTCGGCGAGCGCGCCCCTACAGGGGTTAGGGGCACGCCTTCTGGAACTTTTTACAATATGGAAGCGCATGGGTTGGCTTTCTAGAGCTTTCTACATTACGTTTGTGTTTCCCAGAATGTTTGTCCTAGTTGTCTGGACTAGCAACCGGAAAGGGCGAATATATATCAGGAGCAAAGAACATTCAGTGGTAAGTCACAATCGAAGATATCAAAATAATAGTAAGTCAGGTATCTTACAGTTCCTGATAATGTGATATTATGGAAATATTGCTCGACTGTTTAATATGATCATATAGAGTTTTATATAAGTTTGATATGGTCTCAATATAGTCTTATGCACAGCGAATGTGTAGGGATTTATCGAAAGGTATGCTGATATTAGCTGTTTAAGGGTCTCTAGTGCCTAGTGAGTTAACTGATTAATGCCGTCTATCTTGAATTTGATTGTTTTCCGAGGTTATGTTCCGGTGTTATTCAAGTAGCTGGCATCATCAGAGACCCTTTGGACCAGATCTTATATCAAAGAATGAACTTGGAAAATGCAGCGTCTCATTCAGTTAGGTTTCGACTTTTGCGAATAGAACCTGGGAGGGCACTCACCCTGCCAGCACGTGGCCCCTCCGTAGTTGTGGCTTGGATGTGCTGGTAAAGAACATGCCCCCATGATTTAATGCATGTCTAATGAATTAGAGAGAAGTGATATACCCGGTACAAAAATCCACTTTACTGCAAACATAAGCGAAATAGTCTTGAAAATTGATCAGTTGCGTATAAATTTGTCGTTGAGGCCTTCTCGAGTAGTCCTTCCATCGATAATTAAAAACGGGGCTTTGTTTAATTAGATCACATGCAGAGCACTAAGCTGCTGAGTCAGCTAATTGGTGAACACTCTTTGTCCTGCGATCAACTTTTCATTTCGAACAGTTGTTGCAACAGGGGTACGTAAAACCAAATACTTTCGATGTCTTTTATGTTTGTAAACTCTAATTATTGTGATTATTATTTTATTTTTAGAGTTCTGTGGCGCCAGTTAGGTTTAATAGCTGAATGGTAACTCTGGTGAAAGTCTGCAAGTTTATAGTTCGCGTAAATCCATTATACATTACTTTTCTGTTATCCATGGGAATAAACTATATATATATACGTTTCTAGTGAGGTGTAATTACCTCGGATACCACCGGAGCACCATCTACAAAAGCATTAAGCGGGAAATGCGGGCATACTATGCCGCCTTTGATGAACCTGAGTGCGCTGTCCCATCAACATCATACACGGTAGCAGATGATTCGCCTAAAAGGCAAATGCCTATTTTGAGTCAAAAAATTCCTACGGGTAGGTTCTTTAGGCGTGCAGCCAAACAATGGGTATAGAGGCAGCTGAGGAGGCGGTTAGCACAAACCCAGTGAGAGGCAATTGTTTTCTGGTGGATTTGCAAGAATTCTGCCTTGACGTGCAACTGCCACTTTCCGTAACAAAGCAGCTGTTCAATACGCTACGGCCTTACCATCCAGACGTACCCAAAGACCCGCGGACACTATTAAAAACCCCTCGATCATGCATTAACAAGCCCCTGAGAAACGGGTTCTATGTCCGTTTGGGCCTTGGGAAGGTCTGCTGGACGAGCCGCGCCGTCGGCCGCAACCAGAATTCTGGAAATATGCGTTCAATTGCATATTGACGGAATGAAGGTTTTCAAGGGTTCCAGTCAAAGCCTGTGGGCCTACAATTAGTCGTGTTAGCCGACCGAGTGTTGGCCAACCTTTCGTTGTCGGCGTTTTCTCAGGTTCTGGCAAGCCTGACCCCTTGGAGGATTTCTTGCTATCTGCAGATAACCGCATACCTTATGGAGTAGGAATTCGATCGTTGAGTCTTTTTGAATTTGGGGATCCTTATAAAATCTTCGTTATTTCTAATGTTTCGGGGCGTGTTTTGGTTTGTTAGTAAATTAATTTGCAGAGTCTCTTGGTTGTGTGTGGTCCTGAATAGGAAATGTATACCATTTAGGAGTCTTCTGATCCAGGGAGTTCGAGGACCGTATTTATGATATAGTTTTAAGTATGAACCTTTGGGCACTATATTTGGACAGAAATGTCAGATCCTTGTTAAATAGGATGCCATTGCTTTGGACTCTTGTGTTCGCCCAGCTTCAGATATGATTAGAATAACTGAGACAGGGGCAACTCCTTTCGTAGCTGACTCTAAATACTCTGTTATAGGCTACAATTACACTTGAAATGATGGTCACGAAATCCGTGCTGGGGGAGCTGCATATGCTTTAAGCAAACATTTGCATTTTGGTGACGTATCAGAGTGCGGCCCTCGAGCCGTCCTTGTTCAGTTCCCACGTTCTACTACTACTATCATGTGAGTAGTCCTGTATTTGTTCCCACTGAGTTTAACTCGCAGCATGCTTTCCCACTCTACACGCATAAGTCAGCATAAAACGCAAATCAGAGAGAGTGGTTTGTATAGCATTGGCATAGTTAGTGGGCAACGATTACCTTACGAGGAGTTGGTTACTGCCTGGGATATCCAACTCTCACTGGGATTGTTAGCCCACTTGAGAGTCCTGTCCGTTTCCCATTGGCTTTACCCCTGCCCTTCATTGTCTCCTTTGGCAGCGTTGGTTCCTTGTTCGGCTGGGCACTGCGGGCTCCTCGTTATGTTTCTCGCGATGCCTGTGCACACTGAACATGCACCCACGATACGGCGGAGGAAGATATTTCAGCTATCGGCCAGATTGCCCGCCTTTTCGCCGAACCAGAGACAGTATTGGACTTCATCAATATGAGCCCAGACAGCCCTACCGGACACCGGTCCACCTTCCCATTAGTGCGCCCGCCGCTTGTGAACTCCTTAAAGTTTACGGAAAGATTCACGTTCAGGTACCGATCATCTTCAGACGGCAGGCGTGCCTAGGCCTTCCAATCGTCCGTCACTACTGTGCTACCTGGCGCTATCCACTTTTTTCTGACCATCCTTAATGACGGCCAGCTCCTGTAATTAACTTGCTCAAAGAGGGCCTTTTAGCGGGCAACATCCTACATGTCAACTATCCAGTAGTGTCTCCTGGCTCTACCTACATTATTCTTTCCCTCGCTGATTACCTACCCATCTACCTGCACTTCCGCAACAGGGCCACCAATATATGAAGCCCCCTTCAGTAAGGCCATCGACCAGACATCTCATCATATGACATACAGTGTAACGGCCTTAGTGGGTTTATATCAAGAGGGTCAGCATGCCAGCTCACCCTGGCGTTTTATAGGAAGGGCAGGCAGGTCTTCAGGATCTTGCTCACTTCAATCTGCTTCTCCAAACTGGCGATTCCATCCATAGAGTCTTCTTGCGCTTGCACCCGTGACAGTGCAACACAACCACCCATGTGCTGGCGTAGTGCTTATTGTGTTATATTGCGTTGGGATCGACATTGAAGGCTCTTTGGCATTTGTCTCTCTAGCAGTGTTCCACCACATCGACAGAATTACTTGGCCGCTAAATCTTCGGTTGGATTATCGGTCTGTCCACCTACGGGCCCGTCCTTCTGTGCGGTTTCCTTAACAATGGGCTAAAATAGATCAGAACTTAACCAAACTTTTCAGTTTTCGGATGTGGCGTTCTGACGTTGGCAAGAAAATACAATGTTCTCCGCCTAAGCCATATTTACCTGATTTCTGCCGCTTTTTGAAAGTGAGACTTACCTTTCCCATGCTAAATTCCTAGTTAATCCCAATCTGTTTGATTTTTGATGTTTTAATGATGAAATCGACATTTTCTACTCAGAATTCCTACTTAATCTTAGCGCATTTTGTTTCTGACATAGCTGAGGATAAAAGCTAACTTTGCATTTCTAAAATATCAAACACTTATGCCCTTGGGACGAAACAACGACTTGTCCCATATTCTGTAATAACCGGTTGCTGTTGAACGCCTTCCACCGTGTTGGGTACGGTACACACTTCGCGCAGCATTTTTAACAGTCTTCTGAGCGTCCGCATTGGCTGCCTTGCCTATGATAAGTTCCCCTTCATCAGCCAATGATTGCTGCTTCCGAAACTTCCGTCCACCTACTCCCGCAATTTTTCTTGTCTTTTTTATTTTGGCACTGGCTTTTGAGAGCCACATAGGCTCACCTAGACCAGAAGCCTTATTTATACCTGCTTCGCATTATGTCTAGTGTTGCTCTGGCTATTTATGCGGTTACCTATGTGCCCACTCGTAAAACTTCTATTACCGCCGCCCTGGTCTAAAACATGGCCTTGGCTACGGCCCCTCAAAAGGGCAGCATACTATCCATGCCAGCATTTCTCCCGCTGGAACTTCCGCGTAGAAGTTAATTGCTGGTCTCAAGTGACTTTGAAAAATAAATACTCTTTACTTATTGGTTGCGTCAACCGTCCAAATAACGTCAGTGGGGTTTGATCTTTACATCTCGCAGTCATTTCGACCTGCGAGCAGATTAAACTTTAATTATTACTTAGTTGTTAGTGGCTTCAATCTTCCGTAAGTCCGCTTGTTTTTGCCTTCCGGACCTAGAAACTTTTAATCCTTGTTCGCAGCTGTGGATGTCGGCATGTTGAATGCCGCTCCTGGATGAAACGCACTACATAGAATCTGCTGAGAAGGCTGCTTGCCCTCGTCAGTGTTATCTTTAGGTCCACTCGAGGGCTGTGACCATGACTTACTTGTCTCTTTACTAAAACCCAAAACAAATGAAATTTCTTCCAAAAATATAACTTTTTCATCGTTTTCCGATCAGCCCGTTCGACAGAATTACTGACCTACCTCGTTTCTCACGATTGGGCGAATTTTCTTCTAAGTTCTCACGTGAATGTTTGCATTGCTAAACTGTACGATGTTTCAGATCCGCGTATTTTTCTTCTTGTTACTCGTAAAAAAGTTAATGTCGCGGTTAGGGTTTTTTCCCCTATATCCTTCGCCGTAGGCTGCGGAGGCATTTCCATCAATTTTATCTGCAAAACAACGAATCCGTACTGGACCTGAGCTCTCATATTTTTGAGTGTACTAAGAGATTTTCCGAAGAAACACAGCAAACAAAGGAGGTCAGCTTTGCCGGAAATTGCTCGTTAAATGTTGTGAAACGTTTTGTCGAAATGTATGAGCTCATATGAAAACGCAGCATCCTATCCTCCGCGACGCTCTTGGAAACTCCACAGCAGACGCCAAATTGACCGCTGATAGTTTGAATGTTTTTTCGGAAATGTTTATTAAAATTTCGACAACTACGCTTCCGGGCATTTAGGTTTAAGACGATTCCGTTCCTGAAACCATAGCATCCATCATCTAGGACGTTACCGCAGCCATTCGGCGTTTTTGCCGGTCTTATAGCCTTGGATCTGATGGTGTCCCGGTTACAATTTCAAAAGAGGACGAAAGTGAGATATTCCGTTTTTCCTGTGTAAGACATTGAACCTCGCCCCTGGAAGTGAAACCTGTTCCACTTCGTGGAAGGAATCACACATTCTGCTCATTGCCAAGCAGGCTAATCTGCGTCATTTGACGACTTTCGCCGATAAGCACCCATCCAGCAGTTTCAGAATTCTTTAAAACCTTGATCAAATATAAGTTTATGTCACCGTAACAGAGAATAACCGACTGAATGCTGCTAGGCGAAGCTCGGTCTTGTGCCAGCTGCTAGCTCCCCTCCATTACTCATGTTCAACAATCTAACTACAATATTTCTGTCCTTCACACAGTCCATTTTGATTTCACTGAAGCCTTTGATCGTATTGTCCATGCTCTTCTTCTCTGGACACTCTCATCTTTGGGAAGCGGTGGTAGCCTTTCAAATTTACCACCTTATCCAGTTACTAGCACATAGTGGTCAACATTTCAGTACTCTCTCCGACTCTACATGCATCAGAAGTCCAGTAATTCCGTATAGAGTGCTTCGTCCGCTCTTATTTCGCCTTTTTGTCAGTGATATGCCGGAGTTATTTCGGAATGGTAGGCCCTCCGTGCAGGCTGATGATCTGAAAGTTGGATATCGATAAAAAATAGCAGATCGTAATATCGCGTTCGAACTCTTAAGTAGCAATCTTTAGAGCTTTGCCCAATGGTGTTGTACATGGCGCCTTTCGCTTTCTTAAGACAAACGCTTAGATATGGTGGTCGGTGACGACCATCAACCTTAACTAAGCAATGACGGTTGCAACATAAATAAACCTGGAATTATCAAGGATCTGGGTATATCACGCTCCATGAGTCACAGTCTTTCGGAGCACCTCGCCCTGACTGTTTTTAAAGCCCGCAGAACGACCGGGGCACGTACAGTAAAATATCGGCAGTTATTTTTTGTGGACGCGATTGCAACCTAGCATAATTTACTCTGGAATGTGAAAACTGCAAAATTACTCTCTGTTTAAGAGAACTGTTACTCATTTTTTACATTCAGAAAATCACCCACAATTTTTGCGTTCTGAATTCACCGAAGTAATTTTCCTTGTTGCTGGAGTTCGTGCTCCCTGATTCATCCGTCCGGTTTCATCTTGTGGGAAATGGTGCTGACTACACAGTCCGCAACGCCGGATATGATTCGTTTAGCCGATAACGAGCAACTGCCCACCTATGCCCCCGTTTTGTGGCGTCCGAATTCCATTAGAAGAGGTAGGATTGAAGACATTCGATGCAATTTTAACGACCTCCCTTCTGGGCTGACTCCAAAAGTCTGTAAAAAAAGGTGAATTTCCAGAGAAATGTAAACTGTCTTTACTTTCTAGATCTACAAAATAAGGGTCAAGGCTAGACTCCGGAAACTACCGTCCAAATAGTTTAACCTCAATTTTGTGCAAAGTCATGGAATGGCTTATTAAGGAGCATTTAATTACGTATCCAGAGCCGAGGGGCCTAATATTTGCGACCCAGCACGGATTTATCCATGGTCACTCATGTCGTATGAGTAATCATTACTCGAAAGAAAGATGGACAAAAGCCACAAGTTAATGCCGTCAAGGGGATGTCATATTCTTAGACTTCAAAAAGGAGTTCGGGAGCATGCCTTATCCACGACTCCTATAAAAGATTTGAGGTGCAAATTGCTCTGAAATTCCGCGTTATCAGCGGACATAACCTTTTGTCCAGACCCGAAGATACCTCAAAGTTTATAATTATGGCAGCAATATTCCCTCGTCTGGAATCTAGCCGAACCTCAGTCATCTCCATTTGCTTGGTTTACAAGCGGCGTTCCTACAGCAGCATAATATGGTCACTTTTATCAAATGGTGCTATGGACCTAAGTTTGCCAGTATTTTTGGGTCTTTCGTAAGAATGAAGCTCAGATAATTTGCTCTTTGGCCTTTTTTCATTCTGGTTGAAAACATGGCATTTTGAACTAAAAGGAGGTAAGTTCTCAGTTGTCAGTCAGGAACCAAGGGAATTAGGCGAACCATTTGCAGATAGATCGTTTCAGTCAAGCACCATGCCTCGAAATATCCGGCTATCAGTGCCGCTTGGTTTTGGGTCACGTTTTTTATTAATCCAATCACTGCATCGTCAACCTCTAAAGTTTGATTAGGCGGCCTGTACATAGTCGGGTAATGTAGTTTTGGCGCAGCACGCACATTTAATTTTGATCACATTGCTTCACAGTCACAGGAGCAAACAATTTGGGTTCTCATGCGATAATGCCTCTCTTGATACACTTTTTACTAAAGTGTACAACAGTCTTCCGCCCAGATACGCTGCTCACGAGCACAGTATTCCAAGGCAGGTGGAACAACTGTCTGAGCATCCTGTCGCACTGCATGAGAGATATGCCAATGGTAGGATGAAGGACCCCAATAAGCTGTCGGTATACTGTTAATCGTGTCGTAGGGAATTGTGGTAATGGGGGTGTTTTACGAGTGGGATAGGAGCCAGACAGTACGCTGACGGAATGCAGGAAAACACGAAGACGGTCGACGGCAAAAAGGATACTTTAGAGTTAAATGATGAATGTATGCAGATACGGTATCCAGCTGGATATTTCATGATGTTCCATCCTGAAAGAGTGCCTGACCATCGAACAACTGGGTTTATCCCCCGACAGACTTTCCTGTTCTTCCTCAATTTATGCTAAGTTAGTTTCAGTTTTTGTTTCTCCCCTCTTGGATACAACTGCCAGCCATTAGTTCTTAACTAGATTTTGCAAGTACATACATCAGTAGATGATCCACAGTCTACCGAGAGCTAGTTGGGGTCCTTCATCCTACAGCTGCGGAGATATTGTCACCATACTTTGTGGGGTGCTTCTAGGTATCGAAGGTTATCAGGTGGTACCAGATGTGGCCAAGTAGATTTTTAGTCAATAGTCGGATGTACTTTAAATTCCTGTGGTTACACATCTGATTATTTTGACCGTTATTTAATCGCCATTAAGTAACTTTC